TAAATTCAGACTTGACTGTTCAAATCACTGCAGAAATACAGGACAAGGAGCTTACAATCCAACCTGTCTGTCTTACATCGGGAAAGCACAGGCTTTCATCATCACCTCGTAAAAAGTCAAGATGGTCCTTTCAGATACACACAGAGGGTCCTTGACCACCATCACCCAGATGTCAGCTTAGACTCTTTTGAGAAAGGAGGATAAATGGGATAAATAACTGCTCTTTTACATAAGAATACTTGGGGAAGAGAATACATCTCCCTTCATGACACTAAATTATACAGAGCCAAGCAAGCAAAATGATTCTGTTTTCCCCAAAGCTCTTCTCCTCCTCTAATTACATTTGAAATGTTTTTCATGCTATTGAAAATGTCACTTCCAGCTGTGGACCATTAAGGAGTCTATGTGGCACAGCCACAGGTTTTATTAGGGCAGGTTTGCTGCTGGGGATTTCGATGGCAGCAAAACAGGCCTGGAGTGAAGTACCTTTTGTTAAGAACATTGAACACTTGTTATGGTGAGAGGGGATCTTCTACAAAGGCACAGTGGTGGTCATATTGTTATAAAGACTGAGACCTGAATAATCAAGCAGAAACTGCTCAGATATGTGCTATTTCTACCTCTCTGCCCCAAAGCAGTAATGGAGACAAAAGTAACAGTCCTAGTTTGTACTGGGGTCACTGCAGAAAAGCCCACCATATTGTCCAAAGCCTTTGTGTAGTTGATTTGTTCCTGAGCCCTTGTCCTGGTGCTGTTGATTGAGGTGCCAATGGGACACAAACAGATCTGTTCTGGCTCTTCTGCAGAATCGGAAGTTGAATGATGGAGCAGCTGTGACTTTCATGGTGGAGCAGGAGGGTAGATTTAGATTAAATATAAGGCAGAAGATCTTCCCCGTGATGGTGGTGAGGTGCTGGCACAGGGTGCCCAGAGAAGTTGGGGCTGCCCCATCCCTGGCTGTGTTCAAGGCCAGGTTGGATACAGGGGCTTGGAGCAACCTGGTGTAGTGGAAGGTGTCCCTGCCCATGGCAGGGTGTTGGAACTGGATGAGCTTTAAGGTCCCTTCCAATACAAAACAGTCCGGGATTCTGTGATTAGCATCCACTATCTAGTGATATCCAGGGGAAAGGCTGATGACCCATTGCTGCGGAGGTTCTTTCAGGCTGTGTGAGCAGTGGACAGGGCCTAGGTTAGTTCCTTCTAGCCCTGCTACATCCATATCACTTTTCTGGCTCCTCTTCCTCAGTCCTGCACTGCTGCCTACTCCATAAACCAGCTTGTGCTGAGGATTTGATGCCTCTGGGTTACATCTGTATACTATATAGTTTCCTTTCCTGTTGTTTCATAGATGCTATAATGTCTCTGAGTCCATTGCACTGCTGAAGCCACACAGGAAGATAAGGTGTAAACAGGGTAATATTGTGACACCAGGATTTCATACCTGAAAAGTGATTCTGCAAACATGGTTTCTTTTCCTTCCACTGATGTGCACACAGAGCCAGCTCAGCAGAGGGAAAGTCTCACGTTTACACTCTGTACATTTCTGGACTGTGCATTTTTATTCCAGATGGATGCAAAAAGAAATTAAATATATCTTTTCCCAGTCTGAAACAAGAGTAAAACAGTACCTTGGCTGGCAAACCAGAATGGTTTCTTTAGCCCTGAACCAATCCTTTCATTTCCGTATCATCTTTTAAATGAGGTTAAATCCTGTGGCAGTGAAACCCTTGATGTGACACCATTCCTGGTACCAAGGGACATGGACAGGGTGGGAAGGTGTGCTGCTCTGGACATACCCAGTACAGCATTCACCTGGGATGAATCACTTTTCTTGAGAAATGAAAAGTGACATGGGATACTTCTACAACTTCTGGGTCTCCTAATTTAAATTGTTAACCATTAGGAGGGAAAACAGGAAAAAGGAAAGACCAATTCTAGTGAGAGGGGAGAAAAATATTTTTTCTTTAAAGCAAACAGGAGGCTGCTTTGGGGCAATAACACCATTTTTCTAAGCTTTTTGGTTTGAGGTACCCTTGTGCTGTAAGGGACACCCTGTTGGTATTTTCTTTGCAGTGTCAACCCTCTGACAGAGCCCAGACCTTGCCCTTTAAATAGCCCAGAGCTGATAAATGCATCTTTCACAGGGAACACCAGGACAAGCTGCACTTTGTGCTTGCTTTTCCCTCAACTCTAACATATTGTGGAGAGTCAGCTCTGGCCCACCTCTCCCTGTGATAAAAGAGCAGGTTTTTGTTGCAGCTCTCCTGGTGAGCGCATGCTCAACCAGGCTGAAAAAGAGGGAGGAGGGTTTGTGCATCTTATTCACTCTCCTTTCTGATACTGCTGCTTAACACTGATCCTGTCCAAGCCATGCTGTTCACTGCTGGCAACAGGACTAGAATCACAGATTTATTCTATCCCAGTCTGCATTCATTGGTCTCTCTCTCTAGAGAATTATGTTTTCTTTCTTTCATCCTGTACTGTTTTAACTAAAGTTTTGGTGGAAGCCGAGCAGCCTCCTGAATATGCTGCAGAGATGTTCATTAAACTTAAATGGAAATGAGCATACCGAAAAGATTAACAGCTGACACTGCCAACATGCTTAGAATACATTTCCATACAGCCTCAAAGAGCAAGCTGCTCCAAGTAGAGGACGGTGGGAGCTCTGGGGAACTTGATAAGGTCTGCCTAGGAGGTAGTAAACTGGTACTTCATTCCATCCCACCCCCAAAACCCTGCTCAGGACTTTCGTCCTTCTGATACAGCCTGGAGAAGGTCTTTCATGTTGGTAGTGCATCCATCTGGATCCGTGGTATTTGTACAGGTCTTGTCACTGGCACATGGCACTGTCCTCCCAATTCAAGAGGGACAAGAATGTACTGGAGAGAGCCCAGTGAAGGGCCGCAAAGGTGATTAAGGAATTGGAGCATCTGTTATTGGATGTTGAAGCATCTGAACTACCTGGGGCAGTTCAGCTTGAAGAAAGGACGGCTCAGGAAGATCTTATCAATGTGTACCAGTATTGGACGGGTGGAGTAAAGACGATAAGAAGATGGAGCTAGACTCTTCTCACCAGCACCTGGTGACAGGATAAGAGGCAATGAGCATTATTTGAAATATAGGAAATTCCATTTAAACATAACAAAAAAGCTTTTTTTTTCTCTTTGTGGGTAATCAAACACTGCCACAGGTTGCCCAGAGAGGTTGTGGAGTCTCAGTCCATAGAGATGTTCAAAACTGGATTGGAACAACTTGCTTTAGCTAAGGTTATTCTAAGCAGGCAGTTTGACTAGATGTTCTCCAGAGGTCCCTTCCAGCCACAGTGATTCTGCAGTTTCATGACCCCAAAATGTAAGGGTCAAGTGGTGTCTTTGGTTGAGGTCTGTGCTTGGTACCAGCTAATTTCCTAGCTTGAAGAAGGTTCTGGAAGCCGAAGTACGAAACAGAAATGGCTGTGAGGCTGGTAGAGATCTGCCAACACATAGTGTGGAGGGATCTCAGTCCACTGGATAATTTGTTGACATAAATTAGAAAGGTGCCATCATTTTATTTCAGGGCTACAGAAGATTAATATTTGCAAAGTAAGGAAGTAGGCATATGGCACTGAGTTCTTGGAAGAGCAAAAGCTGTTTAATTTCTTTGGGATGTAAATAAGTCAAAGACATCTTTTCATCATGAGCATCACATTTCTTTGTCTGACTAATAACAGGACTTGTAAGTAGAATTGTCAGAACCTCTTGTCCTTCCCCAACCTCAACAAGAGCTTCTTGTATTTCAACCAAGAAATCAGGAAAATGTTCAAAAAAGCTCTTTTCTTAATTTACAAGTTTCTTTTCCACTGGGGAAAATAAAAAAGTAAAATAGAAAACTGAAAGGAAGCTTGTCATGGTTTAAGAAGGTCCCAAGGCAAAGTTTGGTGATTTGGTGGTCTCCTGCTGCAGCATCCACCACTTTAGTCTGTCCCATGTTAATATTCAGTCCAAGAATTACTGATTCACCCTGGTTGGCTGACAAAGTCAGGATAGCATGGGTAATTTCCTTGCATGTGTTAGCTAGTAGGGTCAAAGGAGCAAGTTGTAATTTACCTTCTGACCTTCAAATCCAAGTACGAAGGGTTTGGGGGTAATACAGGCCACAAGAAAAGACACTAAACCCTACAGCTTGTGCCCAACTAGCACTCTAAAACATGAAGGGACCACCACAAACCACACATACACTGCTGTGTCTTTTTTAATAGCTACAGACACATGTGGTGGAGGAGTAGAGGTTAATTGGAACATGAATTCATATCTTTCTTTTGGATTTAAATTTTCATGTTTCCCTTAAAATGGAAGGAAGAACCAATTGCAGTTTCCGTGACAGAAGCTGCTCCATTAACTTTTGCCCCCAAACCTTCTGATTTCCAGGAGATTTCATTCTGCTGGCTCAGGCAAACAGTTCTGCAGGGCCTTAATTTCCCTGGAGCTTTGAAAGGGTTTGTTGTACCTAAGCCCCAGCAGTGCTTCTTCCTGGGATAGATCCTGTGTTGGTATGCTGACAGCAGGCACAAGCCCCAGGTTCTCCCTACGCACTGCTTACTGCTGCTGCTACTGGTATTGCAGAAGTCCAGTCCCATGCAAAGTGCTGGGTAAGGACAAGTGATTGTCCCTTATGCAGAGAGCTTAAACCTAGCTTATCCAAGACCATTCTCCAACACCCTTAGACGTGATCAAAAGCCAGTGACACCCTCAAAAGCATGGCCTGAGTATAGAAAAGGGATCAGGTTATGGTCTTGAGCAAGTCAACATTAGTTTTGGTGACAGAATGATCCAGTGGAAGATGTACCTGCCCGTAGCAGCGGGATTGGAACTAGATGATCTTTGAAGTTCCTTCCAACCCAAACCAGTCTGTGATTCTATGATTTCTAGCACCAGGAGGGTGCTACCAAGGAGAGGCATCTCACTTCCTTGCCCAAGATATGTGAAAGTATCCAAGTCTTTTTTAATCTGTTGTTTTACTAGGAATCGCACCAGGTTGGCACTTGGAATATATTGATGTGATGGACTCTGCCACAGACAAGACATTTCGCTTTCAGTGTGATCGCTGGCTGGCTAAAGGTGAAGATGATGGGCAGCTGATAAGGGAGCTGGCTTGTGCCAATAATGACATCCTGGAACTGAAGGAGCGCACTGGTAGGTTTAGAGTTGACTTGTGGCATTTGCTGAGGGACTGCAGAGGCCATAGGACCACGTCTCTTGCAAGTCCCTCCAGTAAGGGTTCCCATGCAGTAGGTGTTAGTGTTTGCAGGATTTAAGGGTTGGGTTATTTAAGATACTCTAGTTCAAAAGTGCAGTGCTGTGATAAGAAAGAAACAAATCAGGATTTATGAGGAAGAAAAACACCCCTTTCTGGGTTGAAACCTAAGAAGGGTCCATCTGCAGCAGTTCAATCCAGCAGTAAGCCATAAGCATAAGCATTAAGACACATGCTTATGGTCTCATTAGATATAACGGGTTTGAGTCTTTAAGGTGGAAGATAAGTTCAACCCTGAAAGCTTTCTAGGTAAAATTGCTCCAGCTTCTTCCTTAACATGTTCTGGGCTACTAGCTCAAGTATCCCAGCTGAACATGATGGCTGAGCTAAACACCCCATAGCCTTGGGTCTGATCTGGGCAATTTCCCTGGATCCAAGGTATTACACTGGTTTCTAATGTGGTGAGCGAGTAAATGATCAAGAGTTATTTAGCTGCACTGATAATAGGCACGGTGCATTCCAGTAGCTCCTGCACCGCAGTGCTCTTCTTCTAGGAGTGCTGGAGAGTCAATAATCACATTCTTTCAATGTGATTTCACTCTGCCCCTGTGAAAAATCAGCCTTGTGTTTGCCATTTTGGGTACTTACATGCCACCACAGCACATGAGCACATCCGGTTGGGTACATGCATACCCTCACTGTCCTTGTTAGGATCATGGCACAAAAACTTTAGGATTTGAGCTGTGTTGAAAAAGGAGTGCTTAGCACAGCAGGGAGCTGGGCACAGCTTGTTCAAGAGCTGCTACATCTACGCTTGCAAGCTGATTGAGCAGTACTAATGTTTTTCATGTACTCTATCCCTGCATGAAATCCAAAGCATGTAGAAGTCAAAAGTCCCACAGATTTCAGCTTGGTTCCATCCTTATTTCGCAATTGCTTTCTTGGATGCTGTGATAAATATTAGGAAAAGAGTTTTTAAGCAAAGTGACAGCTAAATGAAGAGATCTTTCTGACCATCTGCTCTTCCTTTTCTGTTTAACGTGTGTGCTAATTATGCTTTAAAGCCTATGAGATTGTCACAGTAACAAGTGACAGAGAGGATGCAGAAACAAAGGAAAACATCTGGATCATCCTAGAAGGAAAGCTGGGCCGCTCCAAAGAATTCCTTATGGAAAACTCCTCCAAGAAAAGGAGATTTGAAAGGTAGTAGGACAGGATGGTGGGCTAAAAGAACAGTTGCATGTATTCCACAAACACTACGTCTTCTCCAGGATAGTTTACAGGGTTGTGTTTGTGCTGTGTTGTTTTGCATCCCCCCTTCCCAAATGTTTAGTGGCTTCTCACCTGTACTAAAAGGAAGATGTAAAATCAGTTTCTTGTGGGCAGACACAGAGCAGGTTTAAAATCATAAGAAAAAGACATCTGTAATAGGAAATGTAGATTATGTGTGTGCGTGTGTCCTTTGTATTAGCAAATACAATCAGACTCCTAGCAAGCCCTGGGGGAGGCTGTGTGGTTTTGAGCTGGGAGGAGCAGAAGGAAGCTGGAGGTGTTTTTAATTCCTTTTACAGCATCATACGGGCAGAGGGAATCAGAGAGAAAGTAAAAATAGTTGGAGGCTAAATGCTGCCAGAGATGCTCAGATTTGACTTCCCAGATGAATCTGGGGAGTACGGCTGAAAAATCACTGTCGTGTGAGGAAAGCAGAGTATCAGCTTTGTGTGCAGATGAGCTGGGGGCACATTTACGGAACATGGGGCAAATCCCTTCTCCTGTGTGGGACCACAGTGCTCCAGATGTGAGATGGGTTTCCTACTTTGTTTAAGGACACAGCATGCCCTTAGGAGATGGAAATGTCTTCAAAGTCATCAACGCTGCTCATGTTCTGTTGCTTTGCAGAGAAGAAAGGTTTTTCTTGTGGTTCTATAAAGGAAGATGAAATTATAACTGATGTGGAGTTCAATATGAATGACTGAGATTTCATATAATCATAGAACTAGATAATTATAAGGTCTTTTCCAACTTTCACTGTTCTATGATTCTGTGATTCTGTATTTTGTGCTGGAAGGGACCTTAAAGCACATCCATTTCCAACCCCCCGCCACAGGCAGGGACACCTTCCACAAGACCAGGTTGCTCCAAGCCCCATCCAACCTGGCCTTGAACACTGCCAGGGATGGGGCAGCCACAGCTTCTCCGGGCACCCTGTGCCAGCGCCTCAGCACCCACACAGGGAAGAACTTCTGCTTAAGAGCTCATCTCAACCTCCCCCCTGGCTGGTTAAAGCCATTCCCCTTGTCCTGCCCCAACAGGCCCTTGTCCAAAGCCCCTCTCCAGGTTTCTTGTAGCCCCTTTAGGCACTGGAGTTGCTCTAAGGTCTCCCTTGAGGAGCCTTCTCTTTTCCAGGCTGACCCAGCCCAGCTCTCTCAGCCTGGCTCCAGAGCAGAGCTACTCCAGCCCTTGCACCATCTCTGTGGCCTCCTCTGGACTCACTCCAGCAGTTCCACATCACTCTTGTGTTGTTGTCCCAGAGCTGCATCAGGACTGAAGGAGGGGGTTTCCCCAGAGTACAGCAGAGGTGCAGAATCCCCTCCCTTGACCTGCTTTCATGATTTCATGTGAAACAAGAAAGACTGGGAAGAGCTTACTCCTGACCTTAAGTTGCTGATGTTTATGGTGGAGTTGAAGACACAACTTTCCAAAGTATTCATCACAGCCTGTCCTTGGAGGCAGGCTGGAATAAGGGCCAGTCCAAGCAGATAAACCTAATAGACACGTCAGGAATAGGACAGGGAGCCAGCCAAGAGTTTGACAGAGACCTATTGTTTCTCTAAACTCTTTTCAAGCTGAGCTTCAGGAAGGGTAGATGAACTAGCAAATTTAAAACAGCTATGGTGGGTAGATGTGTAACAGATACAGTATCTGTCAAGGATGAATGAGTAAGTCCTTGAGAGGAAATTAATCATTCTTCAGCTTTATCTATAATGAGGCAAATTTTGTACGTAGAACAGCTCGAGTTTATCCTGGAAAGTCCTAGTGGCAACAATTTGAAGTGTCACCACTAATCAGAGAAAATACTAAATTTATATATGGAAATTATACTTTGTGTTGAATGATTGTGAGCTAAATCAAATGACTTTATATGAATGTTTATCTTCTGTCTTCCGTAGCCTTGCGCAAATTACTTAATGTCCACATGAGACAACTCACTGCCAGCCTTCAAGGTGCTAACTGAAACTGTTCCCTGTTCCTGTAGGGGTGCAACAGACACATTTCAGTTCTCTTCAAAGAACGTTGGGGATATTGCAGCCATTTGTGTCGGTCACTGCCCAAAAGATGGGAAGAAGTCATCTGCAAAAGCTGATGTCTTCTGGCACGTCCAAGAGATTATCATAACGGAGATGGAGCTTTGCAACAGGTAAGTGCCTTGTCATCTGCATGGACCAGCTCCAGGGTGGCATAGGGACGCTCAGAAGCTCTGCATGCGTCCTCCTGAAGCATTTCAGACTTAAGCAATAGCAGAAAGTCTTACCAAACCTTAATCCCTTTCTGAAAGCTAAGGACAAGCTGTTCGGTGTGTTGGGTACAGAATGTCCCTGCCTGACTTCTCTGTGCAATTTGAGTTGTTAGAGAAGGCATTTGTGTGTGCAGATAAATTTATAAACAAGTTGGCTTAGATGAATCTTGCAACCATGACAAATTAATGTGTCAGCTTGTGGAAAATACTCACACTGACTGAAATTTAAGGGGTTTGTAGGATGTTCTGCACAGTCTGGCTTTTAGGTGAGTCTTTAGGTAAGGCTTTTAGGTAAGTCTTGTAAATAGAGCTCCTAGAAAAAAGATGAGAGTAAGAGAAAAACTAAACTTCCAACTCAGACTAGATTGGATGAGAGATCCTTCTGGTACAGTACGAAAGGTCAGGCTGGATGAAGCTTGGAGCAACCTGGTCTAGTCAAAGGTGTGTCTGCCCATGGATGAGCTTTAAGGTCCCTTCCAACCCAAAACATGCTATGATTCAAAAGGCAAATATAGAATCATAGAATCATAGAACGGTTAGGGTTGGAAAGGACCTTAAGAACATCTAGTTCCAACCCCCCTGCCATGAGC